AATTTCATATTAAAGCAATATTAGGGTTTATAATTAATTGTCAGACGAATGTGGTATCAGAGAAAAACCAAAACAGATTAAAATGTGAAGGCTATGAAAACACATTTTTTAATAGTGTAATTTACATAGCAGAAGTGTTTTAAAATCTTGATTTTGCTTTTAACCTTTAAGATAAGCAATATCAATAAGATGAGCAAAGTCTTAGAGTCACATTGCGGTCACCGAAATTACGCTTATCATCTTATCAATCTAAGCATAATGTAATGAAAATGCAAATACCAAAATATTTCCGTAATTAGCATTTTAGTTTGCAGCAAAATGGAAACTGTTTTTCCCTAGAAAGCTACATATGTACTTTCTCTGAAAGAGTAGTTCAAGAGAATTTCTTCAGCCTCTCAGTTTAATTATGTAGTCTTTTGTGTACTAGTTTCGTTGAAAAGCGAGGCCTTTTCTACTATTCCAAAGCAGAACGTAAAAAGTGATCCTCTCACAAGTTGTCTTGGTTATTAGTTTGCGGAGTTTCATTTAATTAATCCAACAGTTAATTTTTTATTTTAAAGCAAATTTTCTTTGATTCTCGTCTTCACTCATGCTTTCTTGCCAGAATGTTAATAAGTTAGCGAGCGTGTACTCAAATGAGGTAGAAAGAAGTTAGGAATTAAGGGAAGATTTTGGAAGCTAATTTTTGAAGGTGATGATAGGCTATTATTACTACAGTTAAGTTTCTCGTTACCTATTTTGAGTTAAAACAGAAGTGTTGGATTTGTGTACGCCCAAGTGGAGCCATCAGTGAAATTATATTGAGTTAAAAAGTTTTTTCTTTTTCACTCTTCTCTTGAGTTTGTCATATTTAAGATCTGAGGATAATTCTTCACACAGTCGTCTTGGTCTCGTTACTTTTATGTTACCGAAAAACACGAGATTCTATAAGTTATAGGTTCAAATACTAGGTAAGGTTTAAATCATCGAGTATTTAAGAAGACTAGACTCAAGTACGATATGGGTGCTTAAAATAACTCTCATATGGTCGGTTCTAAGCGGAAAGGAATGTATGTGTCCTCATATTCTTAATTAGAGTTCTGTCGATATAAATTAGAGTGGTGTATTGTGAAATGTTTACTCGAGTGAGAAATCTGGAGGGAGGTCTGAAGAGAGGAGGGCACATAGGAACCTACAGCTAAAAAATTATGTGTCAATTATTGTGTTGAGAAGAAAAGAAGATTGAGGAATATTATAGCCATCATGAATGCTTACAGGTTTAAGACATAGACAGTATATTAATATTCCAAATATGGATTCAAAGAGTTTTCGATAGGAACACGGGAAAGAAGAAAGGTAGAAAACTCAAAGTACTACAATTAGATATATTTTTGCCTAATTTTAAGTATGCGTCTTCCCTTTATACTGTGGAATTTCGCGTTCCCAATATGGTATTCTTTTTTTTCAAATTAGAAACTCTCTGCATGGTTACTAATAGTGAATTCTGTAATAATAATTAAGCTTAATATTTAAATTCACTTTTGGGTTACACATGTTATACAAGTAAAGCTAGTAACTACATACCAACATAGCATTATCCCCTAAAAATAAAAAGAGAGAAAATATCATTTGAAGTGTAATTGTCAGTGCAAATGCCATACAGATTCCTAAAACTCATATCTGTTATTCGAGAAAAAGGATATTGTAAATTCCTTTCTCTTATATTTATTCTTTTTCTTATTATTTTGTTCAAATGGGTTTATTTTCTTGGAAATAGAAGAAGACTGAAGACGGTAGATCTTTTCCCTAAACAAGGCTGTTGAAATAGAGTAAAGAAAAGTTTGGTATCCATTTTAAGAATTTAATTAATCTTATCCAGTGCCAACGTTGAATGACACCCACATATTGGTGCTATTTAATTTTATTTTCTTACAAGTACGGAAGCGCATTTAATTATATAAACATAGTACAAGAATACATAATTTAATTACAACAGTAACTGTAATTTATTTATATCAGAGTAATAAAAAGATACATAATTTAGTTGTAAAAGCGCTTAACGTATTTTAGTTAAATAAAATATCTATAGTTCAAATAAATCTGTAAAACACATTGGTCTATTTGTATTAAATAATAATTATATGGCGACTCTACTTACAACTGAATTGCAGAAGCTCAATATCAGCATAAAAATGGACTGATAGAACCATCAGCTAGGGATTGAGACGAAAATTAAAACTACCGATGTTTTATTCTGTGTGTTGAAATTGTTAAACGAACGTAAATAGAAATTGATTGTCAAAGAAAATTCATTGTAATATAAACGCAATAAATACATCTGATGGAGAAAAAATAAGATTTATTCTAATAACAAACTACAAATTTTGTAGCACATTGCAAATAGAAATATATACGATACAGAAATATATAAAAATAGAAAAATATACGACGACATATTTTATCAGTTTTAGTGCTCAAACTAAGAGATTTAAAACTCTTCATCAGAATTCTCGAGAACTGCAATTTATGGAGACGGATTCAAGAAGATATTTGTATATTTATAACAAATAAAAGAGGCAATAAATATTCATACATAAATTGTTTCACGAATCCTCTTATTTTATTCAAAAATAGGCACTGTAATAAAAAAAAATGTAAAAAGAAATGCACTGAAACTATGTTCTTATAGAAAACAATCCAATCCAATAAAGAATGTAATAAAACGCTGAAATAGCACAGATATTGAGATAAAATAAATTTGAAATTTACTATGTATACTATGTAATGCTGGATAAATGTCGGGTTGAAATAAAGATACTGAAGCACTTTTTGGTCGATTTAAATGTAGAATATTTAATTCCAATAGTTGGGAAATTTATCAAAGATTACTGGAACAGCCAAAGATATTTAATGTAATAAAATGGTTTCTTTACTTATCACTTTGTGTGGCGTTTACTCAAAACCTTCACAGTACGCTATTATTAATTAAAATTGCTTTTCTCTTCCTAAAATTTATAACTACTTCGGGCGTTAATTATTTCTTGTATCCTTTTCTCTTATTAAGTGTTTCTTCTATTAGGATCAACAACTCTAACTTTCCTTTTATGTTGTTGCATAAAAATGCCACCATATAATATAGTTCCACGCTTAATTCTTATCAGTTGAAGCTTGACAGACATAAGAGCTACGTAAATGCACTAACAAGATACTAATAATTACTCGAAATCAAGAGGCAGAATTAATTAATCTTCAATAAACACTTTAGAGAAAGCAAGGTTTAAGAATGCAAGAAATATGAAACATCATTTGTGTGCTTGCCAGAATTTGCATCACGTACCTTATAATACCAGCTGGTCATGCTTAGCCATTTACAGCACGACAGCACGCACAAGAGAATGAAATACAACTTTATATTCTCCCCTAAGTAGAGATGCATATAGCACCACCTGGAATTTATTGACTGGGTAAAAAGAAGAACTCGACCAAATTCAGTTGGTAAAAAATTATTGTCAATTTTACTTTTCGTTAAGAAGCCACTTTGGAGACATTTGCTAAGTTTATCGGCGAAATATCACGAAAAATCTATTACAGATTATCTTCCATTTGCCAACTGGACATGCTTCCTATATGTACTATAATAATATGCATAGGAAGGATGCGATTAATTCCTGACAACAATTAACATATAATGAAGAGACTAATAGTATTAGTCTCCTCATTATTATCAGGACATGTATGGGCTAAAATACATATTCCAAGTACTGAGAAAATCTGGATAATTGAAAGGAGTATCAGAGCAAAAGCAGGTCTTGCTTATAAGAATGGTGCAGAGCCCGCGGCCGAACCCATTCTGGAGCCAAACTTGGGGACGCAGGAATCAGCGTCAGGGCTAGTAGAGACAGTATGCTCAGTAAAGAAACCTCATAAACAGCCTTCATGAACCCAGGAACTCACAGAACAGTTGTTTATCCTGACACGTAGCATTAGCTACCAATTGATAGACATTAGCGGACAACTTTAACCAACAACATTAACAAGCTTCCATTTAAACTGGAGCAGAGGATAAAACAAAGTGTTAGGTTTGGTTTGGTTTATTGAGATTACGTAAAGCACACTAGGGCTATCTGCCTAAGGGGAGGTATGCCTTCATGGAGCACTTGCTAAAGGAAACTGACTTGTATACACGTTTCAGATAGAGAAAACGCCCATGCAGCCAGCCTGTTCAAGGGATTAGAATCTCGGACCGATTTACCAGTGTTCAGCGACTTTACTGCTCGGCCGCTGCTGGGCTTCTAAAAATGTTAGAAACTGTACTTTTCCCCTCAACTCCCAAGCTCCTTCTTTTCAGCCTTGCAAGTCTCCAATTACGCGAAACAATGCAAGTTGTTTTCACACATTTGGATACTAGGGACGAAAGGTCTGCAACTACATCTCATAGTGAACCCCAATGTTTGAAGATGAAACCATATTAGGAAAAAAAAAAAAAAGAAAATTAACAGCAGATGACAAGGACGAAAGGAAAGATCAGTAGGGTAAAGATAGAGATATGATGAAAGTTGAACATTTTGAAAATTAACCCTTTATCTACTGAGATATTGATATTAATTCGTTCTTTAACTCATACATTTACAGTTTGTCGAATACAGCTATATCGCTTTTTTGAGCTATTTACGATACAATATTAAATTATCGTTACGGACTGACCTAGAAGTATAAATTTCATCTTGTAGAGACATTAGATATTTTTTTTTGAAGCAGACGAAGTGAAAAATAAGAACGCCTTCGCCGGGAATCGAACCACGGACCTCTGGAGTAAGCGTCCAGCGTGCAGACTACCACATCACGAAGGCATGCTAGGAAGGCGGGAGAAATACCTTGTTATCTAAATTTCAATAATAAAAGTGTACGTGGATCACAATGACCCAAGTCTTCATTCTGGCGATTATAGCAAAGCATCTAGATTATATAAATGTCAGTTTTCGTTTCCTTTGAGGAAATTAACATATGAACTACAAGCTTACCTGTATTTGAGGCGTAGTAGAGTCGAATGCGTTGTACAACATGGGTAGGACTTCTGATTTTAGATCACTTTTTGGCGTCTTCTTCATGATGATATCCATATTTTCTAGTAGAGTTACTGTAGCCTGAAAAGAAATTTCCTACAATGAAACATAGGATAGTTTTGAGCAATATTAATATATAGTTATCTTTCCTCAGAAAGTAAAAATTGTTTTGTCTTGTATAATTATTATTATTTTTTCAAACGTTTGCATATTATGTAATTAGAACTCATCTACAGGATGATTTGTTTTAGAAAAGCGTTAGACTAACTTTGCTATACTTATGTGACTATAATATTGCATAATAAATATGTGAATAAAATTGGAGTAAGTTTATTAAAAGATTTAAACGCAAAGAGGTTGTAGAATTAGTGCAAGATATCCAGTTATGATGCATGGATTGTTTCAAGCTTAATTTTTTTTATTTTAACTGCGCTTATCATGTACAGTATTAGTATTTTAAAAAATTTAATCTGAAAAGCAGGATATAATTACCCTTTTGCAAACTTTAAAAATATTTTAAACAACGGTGAAAAAATTAGTAGGAAAAATCTGAGTAAGAGAGTCCGGTTCTGTTGAACATCCTCTTAAGAATTCTCAATACTTGATTTCTCTATGTTGAGCTAAAAGGAAAATTACAAAATTCACGAATCAGTTTGGAGCAAAATAAACTTTGAGGTCTTAGACCAGGCCCTTGATAGCCTAAATAATTATCAGACCTCTGATTGGTCAAAGTTATATATTGAATCTAAGAAAATCTGTAGGTGGTAGCCATTTGAAGAACTAGTGCCAAATGTCTAGTTCTGTTTGCATGGATTAGTTTAAAATTTATTTTTACAATTTCAGTTGTGCTTGTCATGCACTGCTATTATTAGGCGGACACCTGTGGAGAAGGATCTAATTCTTCTGCTACCAAACTTGAGAAATATATTAAACAATGGTGAAAAAACAAGACAGGAAATATGATTAATACAGTCTTGAATGTTTGAACATCTTTTCAAAAATTTTCTATCAGCCAAGTCTACATTTTAACCAAAAACTTATGAACCTGCACCAAAAGCAGAAGGTATCCATGTAAGATCTTCTTACATATTTGATCTAAATTCTGTTAAGACTAACTTTTTATTTATCCAGTTATTTGGTTTTGTTTTGGTATAGAATAGCAGAAGCACCATGCATCTGTTGATTTTTTTAAAATTTTAAACGTTAGCAAACTTTAGAGCAAAAAGGAAAGAATTCAGTATTAAAATGTCAATAGAGTAAAAAGAAATTTAATAAAAGGCATTTTAAGAAAATTTCAAAATACAAAATATCTTTAAAATAAAATCTGCTTTTATTCCTTTGATTTCTTTTAATTCTGCTACAGTTTAAAATTTAACTAGATAATACACAACCGTATTTTCAGAGTTAGAGATACTTATTATTGTGTGCCTTAGATGGTGCCCAGACTGCATAGCGCTAAGTGGCGCTGACTATCATACCGAACGACACGGGTTTCAATACCGAAGAAGACGTAAGTGTTTGTAAGCATATTCTGCGTGGCAAAAGGGCGCTCAAATTTCATGGCGAACCCAAATCCTCTGAAGAGCTTGGTGTTAAAGGAAGAGAGTGGAAGACCGTTGGACCGAGCCCCGGGATATTCTCCTTCGGAATTCCGTCCGGAGCGAACCTGGGGGCAAAACCTTAGCAGCTGAGAAGGTTGGGTGACACCTAATATTCCTGTTTTGATGCACAGGTGCCAGCCTTACTTCATTCTGTATGTACCAGCTAAATAAAATGAGAATAAGTGATGCACCGCAAAAGTAAATGTGAAAGTATACAATATTTTTTCCACAACACTAAAATTCACTAATGAGCTTAAAATTATATTATTACACGATCTATATAATGAGGCAAAAAATTTTCTATCCATAATTTTAGTATTATTCATGCTATCAGTTCATATTCTCAGATATCTCTTACATCATGGGTTTACCGTTTGACTTAGGTTACATTGCAAACGCTAAAAATCTATCTAGTTGTGAAACGTGCTTGCTAAGAAGTGTCGGAAATCCATAAAAAACCTTGTAATAACAGAAAAATTTGAGTCAGGAAGCTTCAAAGGAAATAGCAGAAAATGTTAACCGCTAAAAATATTAAAGTTAGAAAATTTCAAATTCCTGTCTAAAAACTAAGAAAAAAAGTCAACAGAGACTTAATGCTGCATATGGGAAAAAACCAAGCTAACATGAAAGATCTAAAGAGTGAACTGACTGGTGCTTAGGAAATGGAAAAAAATCCATTGACGTTAAAAAAGTTAAAAAGTAGGAAACGCAGTGAAAGTTTCAACAACAAATTTTAGAAATGGAAACGAAATTTTCTGCTTTTGAAAATGTAACATCGGAAGTTATTTATTACCCTCAATCTCAATATTTTTCTTACACTACTTATGATAATACTTTTTTGGGGGGAAGGGCTTATTCGCAGGATTTATCACAAGAATGGAATGTATTGGCTTCTGCAGTATGAGAATACATGAAACTGTTTTGCAACTTCCGTTTTATGCAAACTATGTTTTATTTCTCAAAAATTACAAGAAAATGATATAAATTCCTCCTATTTCCACTGAATATTATAATAAACCATAACTTATAATATTAGAATGATGATCGTATTCGAAAAAGCGGAAGACTTTCAAGGTTACACGCCGACTAGTGGGAAATTATGTTGTTAAAACATTAAAGAATTTTTAATACTAGGACAATTAACACATTCCTGTAAATTTTTCCTTTTTGTCCTAAGGTAAAACATAAGTAACTGACGGGCTGCTTCACGTTGCTAAGTGCAGGATACCTTTCATAAGAAACTGGGCTGTCATGTTTCTTGTAAGGATGGCAAATGACTGTTTTGAAAATGAGCAATAACGCTCTCGCTTTCCATGGAAGTTATCGCAGAAAACATAGTCTAAAATTATTCAGATACACTGCTGGCCATTAAAATTGTAACACTATGAAGGACAGCAGATGCAAAAAAGATGTTGCATGTAAAGAGTATGGCATGCAAACAAAATGATAAAATTTGTAAGCATTTTGGAGGTTTGTAGAGGTGCGAAATTAGTAGGAACAGCTGCCACCTCTGGCAACTAAAACGGCCCTTACCCCATTAGATATGAAGTTAAATTGGGATTGGATGACAGAAATTGGCAACTCATTCCATGCTGCTTCAAGTCTATGCCACACTTCATCAACCGTATTAGCCGGAGAGGGATGGCGGGTCAGTCTCTCTGCAGCCCGTGACCAGATGTTTTTAATGGGTGACAGATCTCGTATATACAGCGCAGGACAGAGCAGCAATCGAATACCCTGAATATAGAGGATGATCAGGACACGACGTACAACATGTGGTCTTGCATTACCTTGTTATAACATAGCGTTTGGCAGGCCTCGAAGATAGAGCACAACCTTTGGACGTAAAATGTCAGAAATGTACCCATCTGCGTTCAAATTACCGGTGATGCGAACTAGAGATGTACACGACATGTGTACCCAATGCTTTCCCAAACCATCACACCAGGTGCATAGCCTCTATTCCGATATCAAATGCAAGCAGGCGACGTGCGGTCTACTCGGACACTCCAGACACGTATACGGCCATCAGAACCGGCACGTAGAACCGAGACTCGTTTAAAAAGGCGTCATTGTGCCACTCCTGTACTCAGCTTTGTCATTTGGCGCACCAGAGTCGCCGTCTCTCTTTATGCTGCATTGTCAAGGGAAGCCGAAGTAATGGTCACCCTGGTGATAGTCCACGCTGCTGCAAACGTCGACGCACTTAACGAGCTGATACAGAGCTTGCTAGAAATATGCCCATTTCCTGACTAATGGTCCGTGATGGGGTAGTGCAGTTTTGCAGGGCTCACCTCACAATATGTCTGTCTTCTCTGGTGTTGAGGGGAGGGCGTTGAGATCATGCGTGCCGTTCCGTATGACTCTCAGCAATCCATTGATTCCTTATTCGCATGACAGTGGTTGGATGTCGACCAGTGCGACCGGCGATATCACGGAACGATAATCTGCACTTTCGATTGGTAAAGATCCTGCCTCTATCGAATTTCTAAATTTTCTGGTAAGCATTTTCTCTTCTTATTCGAGGCATAACACGATATTCTGAGCAAACGCGAACCTTACAAAGCACTTTCCAAATGAGAAATCCACTACACAACTTTTCTTTTATGCAGTGCGTCAGGTGATGTTTCTCCCTCCTGCGTCGTCTAAATGCGCTGAAATACTATTTATTTGCATATCTCAACTTCTTCTTCCTTTCATGTGATTTTGACATTCGTCAGATCATTCCTTCCTGGTGTTGCAATTTTAATGGCCAGCATTGTAATTATTCATGCAATAAGCTATTAACAGTTCCTCATTTACTTCAATTCTGAAAAACAAAAGATATGTCTATATGGATCTTATGCAATTTTACCGATGCAAAGAAAATACTAAACAGTACTTCGGAGCAAGTCCTTTCCGAAAACAAAACAGGAATTTACAGGCCTTCAAGTAATTTCCATTATAAATTACCTTTCTCCCTTGGGAAACACTAACAATGTAATTATTATTAAAATTACTTCTCCACAAAATAGTTTTGTAGGAAATTATCACATCGGTATGATAACATGATATCATAGCAGCTCTTTATTTATCTTTCTAAAAATTGATATTAGACTTATATTTGTGTTAAAAAATAGCACTTTTACACTGGTATTCATGCATTGCTTTTTATAAAGTAATAACTTATTTAAATGAATTAAGCTTATTTTAATATCTTATTTTGATAGTTAAATTTGCATACTTAAACGAGTTTAATAAATCAGTACTCATTTACACAATTTGGCTTTCTAATTAAATATGTGTAAACAATATTTTCATTATTAAAAACAGCTCACTTTTTCATGTGTATTCAAATAACTATTCTAAGACTTTATTAAAAATTATTGTAAAGAATATTTAAAATAATTACGAATGATTCGTACTACACAAAGACATATTAAATTTCATTAATGTTTACCACAGCTTACGTAAAAAACAGTTTTATTTTAAAATTATTAA